GAAAATCGGACTTAGGCAGAAGTCAACCTGAGGAGGGACCAGTGTATGTCGATGAACAGGACCAGCCTGCACAGGGCCAAGACAAGATCATGTTCGATGCAGAGCATTTCATTCTCCAGCGGCTGCTGGCCCAGCTTAATTTGCCATAACATTTCAAAGAGAGGATCAGTAATCCAACTCTATAGGCTTACATTTTCTGTGACATGAAGAAAGTGGACAATGTCATAAAGGCAGACAAAGCATATATAAGGGGTGAGTCTTTGAAGAGATGAGTTGTCCTCTCCAGTTTGGAAATGAATATATATCCCGTCAGTAGATGTACTGTTATATCAAAAGCATGTCAAGACAAGACAACTCTCCAACCCTCCTTGCCTTGAAGAAAGGATCATTTCAAGGAGTACAGCAATGACTGTCACGTCTACAGTGACCATCCATTCTGACAGCCATGAACCAAGAAATGTTCATTTGAAAAGTCTCTTGTTCAATTAGATGCCAACAACCATGGTGATTTTATTAAAAACATAAAATAAACAAAAGTTTATTTTGCTATGCTTTTAGTGCCAAACAACAACTTAAAACTCAATGGCAATCACGTGCACCACCTGGTTAAGTGCTAAAGAGAAGGAAGGCGTGGAGCGGTGCCCGGAGTGGTCGGGATTCCTCCGTAGCCGTGGGAGGGACCACAGGCGTCTTCTCCAGAGCTTGCTGATCAGTTGGTGCGATGTCCATCCTCCAGATTGCTGATCATGGGGCGTGTCATCTCCAGAGTTGCTGATCCATGGTGGCGTTCCCATCTCCAAGTTGCTGATCCATGTGGCGTGTCATCTCCAGAGTTGCTGATCCATGGTGGCCGTGTCCATCTCCAGAGTTGCTGATCATGCGTGGTGTGCTTCCATCTCCAGAGTTGCTGATCAATGTGGCGTGTCCATCTCCAGAGTTGCTGATCCATGTGGCGTTCCATCTCCAGAGTTGCTGATCATGGTGGCGTGTCCATCTCCAGAGTGCTGATCAGTGGTGGCGTGTCATCTCCAGAGTTGCTGATCCGTGCCGTGGCGTGTCCATCTCCAGAGTTGCTGATCCATGGGTGGTGTGTTCATCTCCAGAGTTGCTGATCTATGGTGGCGTGTCCCATCTGCCAGATTGCTGATCCATGGGCCGTTTGTTACCATCTCCAGAGTTGCTGATCCATGTGGTGTGTGTGCCATCTCCAGAGTTGCTGATCATGTGGGTGGCGTGTCCATCTCCAGATTGCTGATCCATGGTGGTGGTCATCTCCAGAGTTCTGATCCATGGTGGCGTGA